CAGCCACCGCCGCCGCTTCCCGGGACTTCTGGCGCCGCCGCCGCCACTGCCGCGGAACCCGAACTAGTGTCGCTCATCCTCAACCGCCTCAAGAGCCAAGGACTCTTCGACCAGTTCCGCCGCGACTGCCTGGCCGATGTGGACACAAAGGTGCGACAGTGGGGGAGGGTCCTTGGGCGGTGTGGGAGTAAAGTTAGCCTAGGGGCCCGAATGGGAGATGCCCCGGCGGATCACAGCAGTCTTTGCTGCTCGTGCCTATCTCTGAGAGCTCATAAGGTGCGGGTGATCGTTTGTCGAAAAGGTTTATAAGCTCTCTGAAGTCCACACCGTGAAACTTCGGGAGTGGGGTGGAGATTCGGGCTTCGAATTCCGGTCTAGTGGCAAAGGTCCTTGGTGGAAAGCAGTACTAATAGCACCGCAACTTGGATGCCAGGGGCAGACCGTTCGGTCTCGATCTGATCAGATCTGTTCTGAGCCTACTCTTTGGCAGGCTGGAGAAGAAACAAAAACTTTAAAAATGTGAATAGTACCTTTGGCTCTAAGTTGAACAGATAGGTTTTCCAACCTTGTCTAAATTTGTCCAACTTTGGTTCCATATGAATGTTGCAGAGAGAGAATTTTACAGCTTTAAATTCAAGTGGAAAAATGCCTGAATTCTGGAATTTGCCACCTTTGTCAAAGGGACCAACAAAAGTCTGGAATCTGCAGGCCAAGTCCTCTTAAGAGGAATATGCTGTGACACCATCTCTGCTAAATAATTTGGACAGGAAGAACATAGGGCTTTAAATATGTCCAATATTAAATATGGCAAGGCCTTTAAAATATGTCCCTAAAATATGGCCTTGACCTGACAGGCATCTTATGCAATGTCCTACAATGATGGGAAATATAGGAGTAATGTGGTAAGTACCCTATACTAGAGTAAGAGGAAGAAGAAAGAAATGAAGAAAAAAGAAGACCCATTTCTTATAGAAATCCAGGCGTGAAACCACCAGGTCATCGACAAGGAGCTTTGTAGTCCCACGATTCAGGAAGTGACAGATCCAGTAGATATTAGCAAGGTGGAAATTGCATACCTTGGCTGTCACATTCACAAATGAATAGAGTGACAGCCGGTCATCAACTAGAACTCCCAAGATCTGTGGGCTCCGAGACAAAAGTCACCCAACAATCTTGGAAGGAGAGAAGAGGGACAGTCAAGCAAGACAATCCGGATGGAATACTAAGACTTCAGTCTTATCCATGTTCAGTTTCAAATGGTGAGAGTACATCCATGACAACATGTTTAATAGGGCAGCCCATAAGGAAAGTCCCAACCTCATTGGGATAAGACTGGCACAGTTGGATATCATAAGCATAAATGTGATAATGAAAACCCAAACTAGAAATTAAGGCAACCAAGAGACGTGTATATAGAGAAAAAAGAACAGACCCAATACTGAATCCTGTGGCGCACCAACAGTGAGGGGAAGCCCTAGGAGATTTTACTATTCATAGAAACTGAAAAAGAAATATTGGTTGTTGTGGGTTTTTCGGGCTTCTTGGCCATGTTCTGAAGGTGGTTTTTCCTAATGTTTCACCAGTCTCTGTGGCCGGCATCTTCAGAGGACAGCAAACTAGTTCTACACTTCCAAATCTTAGTCTTCTTCAGAATTCTTGGCTGATGTTTGTATTTGGATTCAGGACTGGCTTTTGAATTCTATGAAAAAAGGAACAGGCAAGCAAAACAGAAGGCTTCAATTAAGGCGGGGGAAAATGGTGGCTTTTAAAGATGCTGTTGAGGTTTTTCGTCGCTTTCCTCCCAAGAAGCAGGTATCTTTTAATTTCGGAGCTGCTGTCACCATCTGCAGTCATCATGGAGCCCAAGAAAGTAAAATCTGTCACTGCCTCCATATATTCCCCTTCTATTTGCCATAAGATGATGGTACCAGTACCCATGATCTTAGTTTTTTGATGTTGAGCTTCAGACTATTTTTTGTGTTCTCTTCTTTCACCCTCATTAAGAGGTTCTTTAATTCGTCCTCCCTTTCTGCCACCAGAGCGGTATCATCTGCATATCTGAGGTTGTTATTTCTTCTGGCAATCTTAATTCCGCCTTGGGGTTCATCCAGTCCAACCTTTCACATGATGTATTCTGCATATAAGTTAAATAAGCAAGGAGACAATATACAGCCTTGTCGTACACCTTTCCCAATTTTGAATCAATCAGTTGTTCCATCTCCAGTTCTGACTATTGCTTCCTGTCCCACATATAGATTTCTCAGAGAGATAAGGTGGTGAGGCACTCACATTTCTTTAAGGACTTGCCATAGTTTGCTGTGGTCCACACAGTCAAAGGCTTTTGCATAGTCAATGAAGCAGAAGTAGATGTTTTTCTGGAACTCTCTGGCTTTCTTCATGATCCACCACAAGTTAGCAATTTGGTCTCTAGTTCCTCTGCCCCTTCAAAATCCAGTTTTTGAAGGAGGAGACAGTTTTTGGTCCACATACTGCTGAAGGCTGTCTTGGAGGATTTTGAGCATAAACTTGCTAGCATTTGAAATGAGTGCAATTCTACGGGAGTTGGCGCATTCTTTGGCACTGCCCTTCTTTGGGATTGGGGATTGGAATGTAGACTGATCTTTTCCAATCCTTTGGCCACTGCTGAGTTTCCCAAACTTACTAGCATATTGAATGTAGCACCTTAACAGTATCATCTTTTAAGATTTTAAATATTTCCACTGGAACGCCATCTCCTCCACTGGCCTTGTTGTTAGCCATGCTTTCTAAGCCCACTTGACTTCACTCTCCAGGATGTCTGGCTCAAGGTCAGCAACCACACTATCTGGGTTGTCTGGGATATCCAAATCTTTCTGGTACAATTCCTCTGTGTATTCTTGCTCCTCTTCTTAATATTTTCTGCTTCTGTGAGGTTCCTACCATTTTTGTCCTTTATCATGTCCATCTTTGCACAAAATGTTCCTTTAATATCTCCAGTTTTCTTGAACAGATCTCAGGTATTTCTCCTTCTGTTATTTTCCTCTATTTCTTTGCACTATTCATTTAAGAAGGCCCTCTTGTCTCTCTTTGCTATTCTTTGGAAGTCTGTGTTCAAATTTCTGTAACTTTCCCTATCTCCCTTGCATTTTGTTTCCCTTCTCTTTTCTGCTATTTGTAAGGCCTCGTTGGACAGCT